GTAGTAGTAGTAGTAGTAGTAGTAGTAGTAGTAGTAGTAGTAGTAGTAGTAGTAGTAGTAGTAGTAGTAGTAGTAGTAGTAGTAGTAGTAGTAGTAGTAGTAGTAGTAGATGGAGGGGAGAGCTGGTGTGACCTCAGGCAGGAGCACAGCTGTCAGATAAAGTTACTTCATGGAGTTTTGACACAATGGTATGACCCTAATTACCCGCTCAGGAATGTGCACTGACGACTGGTTCAAGGAGTTTAAAGCAGTAACACGACAAAGCCAGAAAACTACATTATACACACAACGTTTCCCCGTCGACCTGAGACACGCACAAGGGACCTGAAGTACTTTACCTCACATTTACTTTTTAAAGGGTACACGTGAAGATATTTTCTGATCTCTGTTCTAATGTAGTTTCTTCATCACAAACAGACCTGGACTTGTGTTTTGTGTCATTCAAAGGTGTTTAACACATGAACCCTGCATATTTAGGCTGAGTTTCTCAGAAAACAGAAAACACTCTGTTCCACCTTGTCATGTCTGTGGTAATACAGGAAGTGCTCCACAGTGTTTTTAAACTCCACGCACTTTCATTAGAATCATTTGGATCATTTCAGCCCTGGAATTGCCCATTTCTACAGAACTCAAAGAAAAAAAGGAAGCATTCACCTGAAAACTACAACCTGATGACATCACAAAGTGGAACAGAGCATGTTGAGCTTTGGAGATGTAGACAGACTAATAATCCAGGGTTACTCAAACATGTGTTAATCAAACCACACACAATTCCAGGTCTGTTTTTGATGAGGTAACAACATTCTAACATAACGTAAAGCTCATAAGAATCAATGTTGTGTAATTTTGGACCTTTAATACTTTTTGGTACTTCTCCGAGTAGTTTTCAGGCAGCATACTTGAGTGATATACTCCACAGCAGGGATCTCCAAACTGTAGCTTGGGAGTTACTGGTATCTCTCCACCTCCTTCGTAGTAGCTCACCAAGGGATTTCTGTATGGCATGTATTGTGCTGAATAAGTAAAACCCGATTATGTCCCATTTTGATGCCTAATTTTTTTACACTAATAAATCGATAAAGGTTTATGTTTTATAGGCATCTTACAAAATCAGAAACTGGGACACTCCTGGTTTGAGGTAGGCAGGTTGGCACCACCTAGTGCCTCCACTCAATTTCATTTCTCTCCAGCGACTAGATGAGGACTCAATATACACTAGACGGTTCACAAAAACCCTGGGAGTGTGAGTCCAGGCACCAGCCAATCAAGAGATCAAGCCGGAATAAAGATAATGAATAAAGAGAATGTTTAATGAACTTTATCAAGGGGAAAGACGTTATCCTACAGGATTTGGGAAAAGCTTAATATACCACTTAGCCCTGTTAGCAGCACATTACATATGTCATGACCAAATAGCAGCGATTGGTCAAATGATAAAAAGTAGCCGCCTACCGTCGAGTGAACGAAATCTAAGGCTGTGAGGTCAGACGGCTTCTACGAAGTGAAACAAAGCAAAACCGGCTGATGAATCAGGCTAGGTTTGAGATTGGTAAAAATACAACTGTGAAACAAGTATGTAATGAAAACTTTTCTGTACTCAGCCCATTCATGACTACTACTGCTATTATGACAATTTATGCCTCTCTTTACTGTTGGCAGGGATCAAATTGGTCAAAAATAGTGATGCCTGGGACATTTCTTGTAAAAACTGGGGGGGGGAATCACCGGTTTTGTATAAATGTGCTGGAACAGGGGACACAGGCTCAAAACTGGGACTGTCCTGGATAAATAGAGACATCTGGTCACTCTAATCTAACTGTACTTCATCTACGGCTTGCTGAGGTTCTTTTATATACTAAATTCTTGTGACTGCTAAAACTAGTAGCTCTCTGGCGTTTTTGTTTTGTAAAGGGAGCTCAGTGGAGGAAAAAGGTTGGAGACCCCCTGCTCTACAGTGTAACAGTGCTCTTAATTGTGTGAAGAATTCCTCAGTCATGCAGGTAGAATCCATGGCGAGGAGAAAATTAAGTTTGTCGACTAGACAAAAGTTAGTTTTTTTTCAACCAATCTAACTTTTGTCAGGGCGACAAACTGAATTTCCTCCTCGCCAAGTACTTTTCAGTTCACGTAAACGTTTTGCTTACTCCTCCCACTGTAAGGCTACGTTCAGACTGCAGGGCTTAACGCTCAATTCTGATTTTTTTGTGAAATCCGATGTTTTTGCGAGGTCGTTCACATTTCCAATTAAGTGCGACTTGTAAGTGACTCCAGTGTGAACATTAAACGAAACGAAAGTGTCCTGCTTGCGCACTGGAGGACATGATGACGTCAACCGCAGCGAGCGTGCTCTGTGTTTACTGGAGCCAGAACATGAACAACTTACTTGTTTTAAGGAGGAGATTGAGAAGGAGAAGGACGAGGTTTTTGGCCGTGGTGTTTTGTGGGACAGCGGCAGCGGCGTCCGTTGAAAGGAACGTGTGGATGTGGAGACGGAGCCAAG